ACAGACAAAAACTGGCTTTTAAATAAATTTGCTTCCATAATGGTTGGATATGACAAAAGAAAAAAAAAAATAAGAAAAAAAAAATCTAGACTGCGGGGAAGTGGAATATGAAAATAAGGCTTAAGGCATCAGTTCCGTATTTTTCAAAGCCAAATATGTAATGTTGAGAAGAGAAGAAATAATGACAAAAAGGCTCAAATCTTGTAATTTAATATTGTTATTAAAACTTTGCTGTATATCCTATTCTTTAACATTTGGTGTTAATATAAAATTTACTTGGCAATGCTTGACATTTGAAATAAACTTTTTTTCTATGGTTTTATTTGCAAGTGTTCCATTAATTTTACTAGCTACAGTTGGATTATAAGGAGTCTGAAATCTAAAAGGACACTGTCAAGGTTGGGTTAACATTTCAGTTTTTGGCAGTGTCGCCAAAACATTCCAGCTCACTCAAATCTGTTCAATAGTTTTTCTGCAGATGAGCCCAAGCTGTGATGCTCAGATACGCTTGTTGAACTCTGAAGATCAAGGTTGTTCTGGGTTGGAGCGGTACTTGATACTGGCACATGAGGAGTCAGATGGGTGCTGTTTTAGAGCTCCTCTTAACTCTGACATGCAGAGATTTAATGATCCAAAGATTTGGTTGATACCTAGCTCTACTTTTGTATTATTGAGTTCATAAATATGTGTACAGAGAGAGGAGTATTGATAAAAGCTTATAAATCGCAAGCAGTAAAACAGTGTTAAGTATTTTTTTTGAAAGAATGAAACAAAGAGTTGTCAAATTGTTTCTTTAAGGAAGCAGTTTTCAAACAGTTAAAAGGTAATTCTAAGCAGTAGCTAGTGAAGCTTTTATGAAAAGAAAAACCCAAAACCTTGGCAATGTCTTTTTGAATTAAGATTGATAACTCAAATTAGATGGGAGACTGTACTGATGAAAACTTTCCTGAATCTTAATCATTATGAATATTCTTTGCTAGCTGAAGTTACCATACTTTTTAATTGTGTGTATTTAAAAACAATAACTTATTAAAAAGCAAAAGGAATCCTAGGAGGGGTGCAATAATATTAATTTAAATGCTAATGCAAATCAAAGTAACATCGTGTTTCTCTAGCTTTCCCTGTAGATACAATTCTGTACATTTGGTTGAAAAGCTTACATTTTTCTGCATTGTGGATACATTACCTCATGCAGTATCGGTAAATCTCTCTTATTTTGGAATTAAATAAAATTTTAAATATGACTTGCAGTTTTAGTTGGAATCCATTTCTTAGACTCAAGTATAAAGTTTGCTGAGCACTGGAGAAGGCAGAGCATGTATCAGTAACTTAAAGTCCCTTCTTGTGGTACAAACTCTGAGCCTGTTTCTGGAAGCATGTGAACACAGTGTATACTCTCAGTGTGGTCAGCAAAAGGGGTGTATACAGTGTTTTCAATGTCTGTCTTACCAATACTTCCCCCTGATTAAACTAAATCATTTCTTGACACATCTGTAAATCATAGGTGTTCTGTGCATTACTCCTCATCAGGAATGTTGGGGAATGCATTCGGATTTTTAATGTTCAATGCTAGAATGACCAAACTAAAATAATATTAATATGGTAATATATTTTTTTTTTGAAGTAGAAATGCATTACTGTATACAGTGGAAAGCTATTTATTGTACCTCTGGGCTTATTCCTCTAAAAATCATAGCATAAAAAAAAAAAAAAAATCTTTGTCAAGCCTGAACTGATGTATATAACTGAAATAATGTAAAGTTATATTTTCATGTTTTTATACTTAACAACATGATGGGAACACATAATGTATGAGTATTTCAATTCAGATAATAATGATTGGATAATACACATCTCAGTTAAAAAAGCAGTAATAATAGTTTAATATCCATGTTAACAGTACATCAGTATATTGCTATATAAAGTATGTCTGTGTGCATTTAAGTGAAAAGTAGTCAAGAGTGATGAAAGCTGTCCAAGGGTTTTTTATTCCTTTTTTTATGAAAACTGTTATGGAGCAACCAAAATGTTTATGAACTCAAACTTGTGTAAATTTCAAAATGTCCTTTTACTGTAGCTTTTTGTTTACAGTACAGTATCTTATTTTCTGCTTTGTTAAATGAGTAACGGTACAAAGCTGGACATACACTTTCTAAGACATTAACGTTCTCGTTTTTTCATGTATACTTATATGACAGAAAATGCTTCTGATTTTATTTTTCAATCTAACACATGGCTTTTCTGGAGTGTTGTATAAACTTCAATCATACATAAAAAATCTTCTTAAAAAAGGTAAAAGACCTTTAATGTCTGCTTAGTATTATTGAAATCTGGTTTCTTATTTATTATAAATGTATTTTTCTAAGAGTTTACATAGAGCAAATCTGTTTGTCCCCACAGACATGAAATTTCCTTGAAGAGTTTATGAAGTTTCCTCTTTTCTTGAATGAAGTTTCAATGAAGAGTATAAATCCTCTCCCAGATCATCTTGTCACTCAAGGATAGATTTACTGTAGTTTTCTTTATCATTATATGAAGTAATGAAACTTTTTTTTCCAACAATATAATTGTGTCACTGGACTGTAACCTTCCTGATCATAGTTACAATGGAAGTGTAATAGGTTCATAAAGATAGGAGCTTAAGTATATATTCAGTAAAACTACCTAAAAATTTGGAGTTTAAACCACTACATTTTTAATTGAACAGATCGTAAATATGTCCAAACCAGAGAAAGAACCTGAGAAATGGCAAGTACTTCAGGTGTCACTGGAAGAGATCTTGCACAGCAGAGATTTTACTATAACGGCAAAGAGAGTGTGAAGAGGTTCACAATGTGAAAGGTTTAACATTTTCATGTAATGGTGTATTGCATCTGTTAACAGAGTGTGTTTGTGCAGTGTCAGCTTCCTCTTTGGCTGACTGGTATAGACAATATCTTTACATTAAACCTTGCACAAATAATTGTATTTTAAAATTCAAATAGATAGTTTCAGCTATCATTTGGTGCAGTTAGTTATAAGAATACAGCAGTCACCAGCAAAATGGAATCAGCAGCAGCTGTTCCACATGATATTCCTGGAGGCTACTCAGATCTGCTTTCACAGCATCAAAGCTTATTATTTATTAAATCTTTTCATTTAGGCTGTCAAGGGATCACAAAAATTTGCTGTGAAAGATCCATCAGGTCTAAATTATCTTAGAAATTTTTATTGAGCACTTAGAATGAAATTAAGCAAGTGATTCAGCTGTGGACTTAATTTGGAAAATTTTCCCTTACATCAGTTTCTGTTGGTAGTAGAGAATACTATACACCTGTGTGAGACATAATAGAGAATTGAATAATATTTTTTTGTACACAAGTGGCAAAAAATGGAACAAAGTAAGATAAAATACAAAAAATCTGAAATTTATAACTCTTAAGTGCCCTGTAGGCTTCATGTGTCATGAGGCCAGTCCCTAATCTTATTGTTAGGGCATAGTGCACGACATCCTTCCTTCCTCCCTCCCTCCCTCCCTCCCTCCCTCCCTCCCTCTTACTTTTTTAGCTTTGTACGCTGATAGGAAATGTAATTACTGCAATTAACACTTTCTATAATTGATTTGGCAGTCATTAAAAATGTTTATTATAGTTCATATTATAAGTCCCTGTATAACAGCAGCAGTGATGATAAAGATAGGAAAGGCTAAGCTAAACCCTTTATCCAAGTGGCATCCACTGAACTTATTCTTCTGTCAGTCTCCTTTATACATCTCTTAATGCTAATGAAGATTTAGCTACCTCTGTAAACATCTCAGTGCTTTACTTACCTCAGTGATGAGAAAATTCTTTACAAACAGAAAAAAAGCACTTAATTTCATTAAGTTTTCCAGTGAATGACTTTGTAGCATTTGCTGAGAGTTCTTCCTCCTTTTACATTTGCAACTCCCACTCAACAGAAAGGACAATTACTACATGCTGGGCATAGGGAAAAAGTTTACATGTAATTTGTCATAGTTTTTAACAAATGCTATCTTTTTGAGGCTGACTCATCTGTGTTAAATAAAGCATTTAATCCTACTAGTCTTCCAACTGCAGAATGAGATTTTAAAGCATGCTTAAAATGGGTTTTATTTATTTGCTTTAAATATCCCAAACCTGATTTCAAAAATGTGTCTTATTATAGAGTAGGAAAGGGCTGCTAAACTAGTGCCTAGACCAGACCCTTGGTATTTTCAACTACTTTCTATCTGGAGGTGTGGGAACCACAAATAAAGGGGTTACAGTGGATCCCATGAGCTGTGCAGGACCATGCTGCTTCCTTTGCATCTTTCCATGCACAGAAGGCAAGCAGATGGAAAAGATGAGCTAGGACTTGGAGACGTACGTTTATGCCATTTTTCTGTTCCCCCCTCAATCCTTAAATGTGAAGGTCTCTTCAAAAGAAACATTGGAGAGGATTTATACCTGTTTTCTAAGGATAAAAAAATAACAAATGGAATTTTTTTTTTCCTAAAATCTCACCATTTGTGCAGTTTTGAAACTATAATGTCATGTTTCAGCTAATATCAGTAAACAGTTCTCAAAACTAGGGAACAAAATCTCCTTCAGAGCCTTTACTGTTAGTAACCATAGAATCATAGGAGACTGTGGGTTGGAAGGACCTTAAAGATCACCTTAAAATTCCAACCCCCCCTGCTGTGGGCAGGGATACCTTCCCCTAGGCCAAGTTTCAAGCTTCTTAGAAGACAGCCCAGAGAACTTCTGGCATGTTGGTGCTTTACTGAAGCATCAAGGGCATCTTGTTAAAAATGTACTGGAGGCTATTATATAACAACTTTTAACCCAATTTTCAAGTTCTGTTGTTACAGCCCACCCTTCAGCACCATATTCTGTGAGTTTAGAGAAAAATGTAATTAGAGAGGTCAAGCTATAGTTCTTTCAATTAATAGTATGCTTTACAAATAACAGTATTTTTCAGTAGTTACTTTCCTTTCACAAAAGTCGAACACATTTTTGGTTACCTCATACTCATAGATAGCAGAATGCGCAGTGAAATATCTTTTTCTGTTTTTGATTGAGAAGATTTTTTTAATATTGTCATAATGACTAAAGATACATAATATAAGCAACATGATTTTTGCGTAGGTGTTCATCTTTGTGTTTCTTACTGTTGTTTTTAATAGTTTCACAAGATCTTTAGATGAATATTTTCATAAATTTGGAACTATGTGTCTTGGCAGCTTATCCAAGTTACCTGTAGGTGGAATTCTTAATTCAGCTTCAGCTACTTTGTGTGAATAGATAGCCAGAGATGCTAATACATGAAAATGAAGATTGTGGGTGTTGCAGTGTATATGTATGTATACATATCCCTACACAATGCAATAGTGAAACTATTTTGATGATTTTGATAAGGCCATAGTCAAGAGCGATGATAACCACAGCAATAATTCATATCAGGGCCAGTAGCAACAGGAAGGTCCATAAGCAAGTGCCTTACCATCTCTTGTTTGAATAAGTATGGAATTTTGCATTTCCATAGAACAATATGAGTCCCCATGGGACTCAATCTTAACAGCAAATCCTATAACTTCAAAATCTGGGGTAACTCCTGTAATCCATCTCACTGATGGGATTAAGTTCTACAGAACTGTGAGATAAATGGGCTCTTCCACAGTATCTTTGGCCTACACAGAAAGGTCAAGCAAAAGCTATTGCATGTGTCATTGCCTCTCACTTCAGCAGCAAGCTTGATGGGTTTATGTATATGCATGTATATGCTTAGTTTCTCAAACTGCAGTCTTTGCTGTTTAAAAATCCAAATTTGAGAGGCTCAGGTTTAGGCAAATCTAGCATAACATGAACAAACAAAACCGTGCTCTTTGCAGCTATTACCTGATTTTCTAAATCAAAACCTCTATAAGACTTAATGCCTCAAACAAAATGCTGGGCATTGACAGGGCTGGATACCACGCTACCTACTTTGAACATTGTGCAATAAAATATACTGCTGTGGTGCTGGGGCAGAATTCTGTCCACATTTTGTATTGTTTTGTTGGTTTTGGTTTTTTTCCCTTTTACTTGCCTAGACAATTGAGTAGTATAAGCTGCAGGAAATAACTCGGATGGTGTAGGCTTGGCAGACAATTTAAAGGCAATTTCTATTGACTGGTTTTATCTGTGGCATTACCACGTTTTTTAAATCTGCACCTTCTGAATATATCAGAAAAAAATGATAAACTGTTTCTATAAAGCCATTATTCTCAGTGAGAGCAGGATTCTGCTCAACATGTTTTCTTTATCCTGATGGGCATACTTGCCTAAGGTACTTGTTTATTCTAGGACACTTAAAAATATATAATTTCTTTTTAATCAGTATAGATCCAAAATTATATTGGGACATGTTCATCAGTTCTGCTTAGTCCACCTTAGAAACTGCTTTCTATAGGAGATCTTTGTCCTTTTATACTTGTAGTTTACTTTTTGATCTTTTGTCATTGGAGAGATTTTAGCACATTGAGGAGAAACAGTAACAATTCATACCCAGCTTGCTGATGTAAGATGCTGCCCAAGTCCTCCAAAGTGATTCAGCCGATAAGTATGTCCCGTGACTCACACCTCTTACAGAATCTTTCTCAAGCAGCAGGGACAAAGCCTGCTCTGAGGAGCCCAAAGAAATTAATATGCTTTGGCTAGACCCTGCCTCTCTGGAGCCTAGGGGATCTGGGGTGTCAGGACCAAGCCTGAACCTCCCACCTGTCTATGTGCAGTCACGCAGTGATGTCCCCAGGCATCACCACACTCGGCAGTCATGCTAGCAGAGCAGAATTGTTAGCATGGTCAAGATGCAAAAACTATTTCTCTGCTCTCAACATGATGCCAGTGGGGAGGAGAGAGCTCTCTCCCTCCTTCCCCTATCTGAAAAGCTTTTTTCTTTCCCTGATCTACAGCCATCCATATTCAGCAAATTCAGGATGTAAATTTAGAAAAAAAATGCTTTAATATAAAATAATCAAGTACCTTTTAGCGTAGAAGGAACTCAGCTTCTACCTTCAAGAGAAACAAGCACAGCCATCTTGTCTGGCTGAACGATTTCATGGAGATTTTTCTCAGAGGGAAAAAAATTAATTGCTTTATGAATTTTTACATCATATGTTGTCATAAATAATGAGCTTCACAATAGACAGGATCATGAGATTATAGATTGATTTTTTTGTTTTTTTGTTGGTGGTTTTTTTGTTTGTTTTTTGGGATTTTTTTTCTAAGATGATAGCTAAGATTGTATTACGTGGACAGCCTTCCTTATGCATGTTGTAA